CAAGATGGATTGAGGAAGGATGGTGAGTTCTCAGGTCTTTAAGTCCCATAAACGGGGGAAAATAAGCCGCCATCACCTCGGGCCACCGGATCGCCATAGCCCCGGGTCGGACCGTCGAGCCGTCACCGCGCTGGGCCACCAGGCCGCTGCCGCGCCAGACCGGTGGGTTACCGCCGCGTCTGGCCACAGCTCGTCCTGGACGCAGATCTTCCTGGCCGTGTCAGGGCGCAGATCTTCCAGGCCGTGTCAGGGCGCAGATCTTCCAGATCTTCCTGGCCGTGTCAGGGCGCAGATCTTCCATATTGGCCATTTAGGCCCCCAGGCCGGGCTTCACCAGGCCTCACCAGGCCTCTCCATGCCCGGGCGGCCCTCAGCAGATATGTTCTGGTTTCCTTCTTAGCTTTTTTATTCTCTTTTTTGAATGGGATGTAAATGTAGTTTATCTCTGTTATCTATTGATAGCTGATTTCTGCAAGCAAGCAAGCTCAGAGAACACCAAGAATTCCATAATAAAAGTATCTAGACTCTAGAGAGTGTTTCTTCTGACCTCAAATTCAGGACTGAAGCTTGTAGACCACAGAGAATGATGTTTAAAGTTGGTTTAGGCACATTTTCATAATACCAGAGATATTTAATCACTTTGTTAATTTAAAGAGTGATGTCGTGATTAGCGCATACTCTTAAAATAAACAAAATAATATTGTAAGAATGTTCAATAATATGATCATCTCCTCCATGTAATTTTATTTTATCTTTATGCATAATTGTGCTGAGGCCAACATTTTAACACACACACACACACGCACAACCATGTGCATTCTCTTGTTGTTCCATTAATAAAAACAATTGCATCAGTGTACTGTATATCTATTGACTAATGTTGGCTGGGCTGCATTTTTCAATAGGACACTGTTATATCAACCTGGGATGAATCAATTTAATTGTGGAACACATTCTGTAATAATATTTAGTTGCTATAATCTGGTTAAAACAAAAAAAATGTCTTCTCTTATTTTTCAGGGGTTTGCATACTTAGTTTTCTATCATTTATTTCTGAGTTTTAAAATATGATATGGTCCTTTAAACTTGATAACATGTCTATTGCTGAAGTGGGGTAACATCCAATTAAAACAGATCAACTTGGAATTAATGCACCTTCTTAAATCTCTCATACTGAAAATCATTAGAACTTAATGTTTAACATTGATTAAAAATAATGACTTGGTAGACAATAGCAAATACTAATTAAGTGTTTAAAGGAGCCTATGTAGAAATATAAATTATGCAGTAGAAATGTTATCTACATTATTTAAAGATAGCTAATAATTACAACTTGTTATCTGATTAATACAAAAAAACATTGTTCTTTTTCTTTGGGTTATTACTATATATACTGAAACAGTTTTCCCCAATCTGGAAGATTTACAGAGGTATGGATTTCTATTTTTAGAATTTCTCAGCCTCTGTCTTTTCTTAAAATTTTGAGAGCTAAACCCCACACATTTGGAGAGTCCAAGGTGGCATTTTGAACTGTATGAATACTGTTGCATGATATATCAACCTGGTCTTCTGAGACCATTTCAATCCACCAGATACTGGCAGTCATTTTTCTCTTTCCATATTTGGATTCCATATACATGATCCTACAAATATGAATATAAATATAAATATGAGTTTATATTTGTAGGACCATGAGTAGGGAATTCTCTGTTATACCTGCATATGTTTTTGTACTTTGCTTCATGTTATTCCATAACATTTGCACTGTGAACACTGAAGCAAATTAATATACAGTACATTCCCTATGTGTCTATGATATAGTGGTAATACTTTAGAAATTGTTATCAAAATAAAGTTTGCCCTATGTTTCTTTGATAGAAATGTCTCCTGTACTTCCAAAATTGTTGGGGATCAGCATAATGGAGGTGGTTGATTAATAACAGATCCCTTCTCCCCCCCCCCCCCACTCTGCCCCTGCCCTTCCCCATATGTTTTTGGTTTTAGAGACTTTAGGAAATAGATTGGAAAGAGACATAAGATTTAGCTAATTTTTTTTTATCTGAGAAAATCTTGTTTCTCTTTTTTTATCTGAGAAAAATCTTGTTTCTCTCTTCTTGAATAGAGAGAAAATTAAATGACAGGAAATTGAAAAAAAACACCTTTCCTGAATCTGCAGAGAAAAATAACAATTCAGGTATCAGCAGGATCTTTCACAGCCAAGACCTGGCATAGGCATGAAAAAAAATTAGGTTGGAGGAAGACTATGGGTAGTGCCACTTAGAGAGCATTTATTTATTTATTTATTTATTTATTTATTTATTTATTTATTTATTATTTTATTTATATTCCACCTTTATTATTTTTACAAATTACTCAAGGTGGTCAACCTGTCCAACACATCTCTCTCCTATTTTTCTCACAACTTTGTGATATGTGCTAGGCTGAGAAAGAGTGACTGGCGGAACTTGAACTCATAGTCATTATTATTACTCTGTGTGTGTGTAGGAGAGAGAGAGAGAGAGAGAGAGAGAGAGAGATTCTTTCTGAATACATTCCTGACTTAATGTTTCTTGGGGGAACTAGTTTTGGCTTGTCTTTGGCTTTGATTAATGAGACATCTTCCAGGATATTTTTACTGCTAAGTAATGAAATCTCATCTCAACTCTCATTTCTCCTGTATCCCCAAGCCTGTGCTTCCAATTTATATTCTCCTTCAACCTGGGTCTGTACATTTCCATAAATGAATGCTTCACTACACCCAAGTTGGAAACTCCTGCTTAGTTGAATATAATTTACTCTTCAGTTCAGATATTATTATTATTATTATTGCATAAAAGGAGACTAAAACCAACTACCATACATGTATTTTATGTAAAAAAAATAATCCCGTAACTATAATACATTCTTTGTAGGGGTTACAGTATAGTTACAATATACTGTATCTCCCAATTTTATTAAATATTACTTGATTTTAAAGGATTCATCTTGGTTAGAAAGAAGCTCTGTAATTCAATTAAATGATCACACTTAGTTCAATTAACTCATTTCTTGAATGTATCCTTAAAGGGCATTTTTAATGAAGTGTCTGTAACAACTGTTATAGTCTTTTGTTATTCTTTAAAGACCTCCTACTGTTGCAAAGAATACACATAGTTTTCTCCTCTGAAATTTTTCAATGTAAATGAGTGTCCTGAGGTGTTTAACAAATTTTCAGACCCCTCATCTCAGAAGTTCTTCCACAATTAAAATATCATCGGTCAGCTGTTTGTGATTTGGGCTTAGGTATGAGTGGCATAGCATTTTCATTAAAATCCATGGTGATTTATTCAGTTGCTGGAGATTGTGAGATTCAATTAATGAAAGGCTGAAAAAGCAGAGAGGGTGTTTGTTACATAATAAATATTTGAAGTATTTTTTTCATCGGTGACTGTTGGATTTTGCAGAACCAAAAGACAGGAATCGTTCTAGACCAGAACTCAAAACTCACCCGTCCTGGACAAATGGAGAGCTTTGAGAATTCTCATCAGGAGATTAAAGACAGGTGATGCCTTTTGCTTGTTTTCTTTGTTTCATTAAAATACATCTTAACATGGATATAGTCTTGGGCATAATCTACATTTATGTTTATGTTTATTTAGATTTGTATACCGCCCTATCTCCCTTACGGGACTCAGGGCGGTGAACAGGCGATAATAAAAATCACAATAAATATCTATTCTAAAATCAAATTAAATAAATAAAGGCCTGCTCTAAAATACCCCATATAAAAACCTATACTAAAACCTAATTAAGACTACGCCAGGCTGGCCGCACGAA